AAAATAAACTTGCTTCGTGGTAGCGCTTTAATTATGGAGGTTATTTCCTGATCAACTTTTCAGCAAGATTCGTCTTTCTGATCAAATTGCACCACAAACCTTTTTAAACGAGATTATTTCAATCACAAAGTATCACAGCAATGTAAAGTCCCTGTTTTGAACAGACTTTACTTTATTTCACATTCGTTGTGGAGAAAGTAACCAAAAATTGTTGACCCAGAATAGAAGCTAAAGTTCGATGGCCCAGGTGTAAATGTTGTTTTAATTTCAAGGAATTTACGAAAATAAATTGCGATGTTTCACACCTTTTAGTTATCGGCTAAACAATACCACAATGTTAATTTAAAATTTTTGAAATAGCAAGTATTTTGTACACGATTTCTACATATTATATGAAAGCAGATTATATAAAGATACTTTACACGTAAAAAACTTTGTAGGGTTTTTCCACGTCGTAGTTTAAAGATTAAGAATGTCCGGACGACAGCTCATTGTTTAAAATTGTGCTGCAACAGAGCATGAACCCGTTCAATCTGATATGGATACAGTTATTCTGACGTAGCCATAATTGGTGGAATCTAAATGTGTTTCCTCAATGGCAATAGTTACAACTTCACGAAATCACTTGGAATACACTTTATGTTTCTGCGCGACTCTGAGCTTTGTAACCATTAAAATTGGCGAGATCTACAGCTTAAAAATTGATATTTGCTTTATTAATTTTTTTGTGAAAATAATTTATTTTTCAGAAGGGAGCCGAAGTGGCCTATAGTTAATATAAAAAGCTATCTTTAATAGGCCTGTTTTGGTTCAAGAGTGTATACGTATAATATGCAACATGAAAGGTTCAGAACTCTTCGGAACTCTGGAACCAAAACAGGCCTAATATTTGCAAAAGAATTACTTTGTGAAGTTTTAGTTCTGCACTAATTCTATAAACTATCTCCAATTGCTATTTCTATTCTTCAGTATTCGTACTTTTCAACACCCCAATGAATCTCCTATTTGTTATATTTGGAGAAATTTTTGTCCATTCTTCCTTTAAAACATTTTTTAGGTCTTCTTTGCTTGTCTTTTTGTTAAGTCCAGGAAGCGGAATGCATCTGGCATATTAGCCACCATATTTTCCGCTGATGGGTCAGTGGTGACCTCAGATCCTGATATCTTTTGTGCATTTGCAGAGTTTTTCGCCTCGGTTTTCGTAGCCAGGGTGTTTCATCTTGGTTCTCTGCTGACGGAGTTTTGACCCATCTTGACAAGTCCTTTAGCTTTGGTCCGGATGGTATTCCATCTTCCTTTTTGAGGGAGTTTGCTGCCGAACTGTCGACCCCACTTATTCTTATTTTTTCAAAATCTTTACTCGAAGGTACTTTTCCGAGCGTGTGGAAGACAGCTTTTGTGGTTCCAATATTTAAATCCGGGAATAGACAGTTGGTATCTAATTACCGTCCAATTTCTATTCTCACGTCTATTCCTAAGGTTTTTGAAAAAATTGTTTACGATTATTTTAACCACTCTATTGCTCACTCTCTCATTACTGAACAACATGGTTTTTTGCCTGGGCGATCGGTTGAGTTTAACTTAGTGTCTTATGTTAACTTTATTCATTCTACCTTAAATGAGGACTCACAGGTTGAGGTAATTTATACCGATTACTCTAAAGCCTTCGACAAGATTGACCAAGGATTTCTTATAGAAAAGCTGTCCTCCTTTAACATTTCTGCCGGCATTGTACGCTGGATAATGTCATATCTATCGGACAGAAGTTAGGCAGTTAAGTTGGGTAGCTTTCTATAGGACTACAAACCCATGTCATCTGGTGTGACATTTCTTCTTGCTTTAAATTTTCCAAATTCCTGCTCTGGATGATAATAAAATATTTACCAGAGTCAGCTGTAGTCATGACTGCCTGAGGCTCCAGGAGGACCTTGATCATCTGCATGATTACTGTCGCGTTAACAAACTTTATTTGAACAATGACAAATGCCAAAAAATTACATTTACATGGAAACGCTATACTATTAATTTTAATTACAATTTTAATGGTAGACCTTGGGTAGACCAATTATCTCTGCTGACAGAGTGAAGGATCTTGGCATCATACTTGATGACAAATTGAGATATCACCTTTACATCGAATTCATGGTGGCGAAAGCCCTGCGTAACTAAGGGTTTGTTATCAGAATAAGTAGATATTTTACCAATTTTACAAGCATTAAATCGCTTTATATGGCATTTATTAATAGCGTATTATCCTATGGTTCCATAATGTGGAATCCTATGTATGCGGTCTATCGTGATCGCATCGAAGCGGTTCAACGACGCCTTGCACACTATTTGGCACATAAATTTCATCTACCTTACTGCGATTACGATAGTCTTCAACTTATTGTCTCTGCAGTTTCTGACTTGATCTTCCTTTTCAAGCTTGTTAATGGCATGCTGAATGCCCCCGATCTTCTGCCTGAATTGAGCTTCAATGTACCACAACGGCTTACACGATACAACTCCACATTTCATCTTAATATAGCTAAGACGCCATTATTTCGAATTCTTAATTCTTATGACCAGGGCTTCAACCATGTATCTCTCTTTGACGTTTCTTTACGCTCTTTCAGAGAATGTGTACTAGCTAACGTATAGCGGATGTTTTGTTGATCGCTTTATTATTGTAATTCTGAACATGTAATAAATAAATAAAATCGTTCTTTGACTGACTTTTTTGTCAAGTATTTCCACAGATAGTCTACTTATAGGATTAAGATCTGAGGACTGCGGAGGATGATCCAAAGTTTTGGAAGTTCGATATAGCAGCAACTTCTTTACAATTTTGGCAGTATATTTTCAATCATTGTCTGTTGAAAGACTTAGTTTTCTTTTAGGCCCAATTTGTCAACATTTGGAGCAACATTGTCTCTTAAAATTATTAACTAACATATTTTGTTCATTGTTGAATCAATAAACACCAGATTGACACCACCATAGCTCTAGAACGTTGTATTTTTAGGTGGCCATATTTTTGGTGGCTTTTTCTTTCCAGAAACTTACTTTCTTCAGTAACTAATATGTATTTCTAAAAATCTGGAGCTTCGTTTTGGGAATTCCATAAGTTTTTGTTGATTTGCCTTTGATATTTAGGAATGTTTACGTGGTGTTTATGTAGCCGATTTACCTGACGTTTGTGATATTTCGTTTGCTATTTGAAAAGCACTTGAAGTTGTATTTCGACATTTATTATCACTTCTTTAACCGCTTTTCATAACTTCCTGCTTGAATCAATTTATCTTAAAACTAAGTTTTTTGACTTCCGCTTACATCGTCTTCAATAACAGTTTTACAAATTGTAGGATTCTGTTCTTTTTCTGCAGCACCACCTTGTTGTAACCACAACCTGCAACATTTTTCACAAAATCGGATTATATTATGGTGAGCTTTTTTCATCGAGTTATGTTTCATTGCTTCCTGTAATGAGACCTTTTAAAACACTTTTTGAGGTGGCACGGATTTCTCCAACAATTACTTCTGTTGCAAAAACAGAAAGCAAGGTCTAAATCATCATTATTTTGGAATATTATGGAAGAAATATGAATCAATACAACCTAAGTTTCCTAATTAACACCAACTAAAGTAGATGTGCTTAATGATATAGCCTTCACAAAGTTGTAATGTCTGGTATGTGTTAATAAAAACTTTGATGTATTTAAGCAATTAAATTGAATAGATAGTTCTTTCAACGAACAATAAGAGCTGGGTAAATACGAATTGAAAGGAGATAAAAGCGAAATCTCACGATTCCGTGACAGTTACTGGTCGAAGATGAAAATTCCGTCGTCTTCCGGGGGACGTATCTCCTCAGCTTGAGGATTACACCACTCAGATTGCGTGGATTAAAGAAAATTGATTCAGTTTCCGTCTGTATTTGTACAGGACATTTGCAATCAGCACCGGACCAACCTTAGATTCTTAGTTCTACTTCGAATAAAACAGAAATAAAAAAAAAGAACTTTTAACAGTTTTTCAAATATAATTATAAAATGTCGTATCGCGTAAAAGGTCTGAAATATGCTGAAACGTTCAATTAGTTCATACTCGAGTACGAGTAAATCACATTTTAACATTTCAGGTGTGCAAAATTTACGCGATACCCAGGTACATGTAAATTCGCTTCAATTAACCAAGCAAATTTCATGTAAAAAGGTGACGTGAAAGTCTGCACTTAGTACGTGGACGGTGATACAAGCGGATTTTCGAGTTGGAAACAAACTTTTCACTGCGGTTTTAATGCGATGTAAAAAACGAAAGTAGAGGAAACTCGATTTAATTCCCGACAACCAAAGTGACAATAACGAATTGTTTGGGGCGCGACGAACCTCGATGTTACACACGCATTTACGTATGGTACCAGATTAAATTTAATACATCATAAATCCCACACACGCAGTGACCGTTTTCTCTATAAACGATCCACGCGTAAATCACACGACTGCTGAGTGTAAACTGGGCCACAATAAATAAATTCGGAAACAACACGTCAACTGGTGTGTGAAAAAAAATTTGTTGCCCAAAAAATTATTAGAAAAAATATTTTAATAGGTTAAAAAAAAGTTGTGCTTTTATCTATTGAGGGTGTGCTTAAGTAGAAGTAGGTAAATAGTGATGTAGGTCAATGTACTTTTCTTATCACCTCCTATGAAATCTAAAAATTTGGTAAAAATAAAATCTTAATAAGATTTATTTTTTTTAAATTAAATTAATTTGGGATAAAAGTGAAGGTTAAAAATAAGATTAATTAACACAACACGTAATCACTTTTTAAAATAAACCGAACTTGGGTGGTAACAAAAATCATTTTTGCAATATATTTTTAAAATTAAGATAAAAATTCATTAAAAATAACCTTATCTACATAATGATGTGGCTTATACCACACACACCGTTTAGAATTTTCTTAATTTTCTCAATTATTTCAATACACTTTGATATCAAAAAAAGTTACTTACCTTGAATCGAATTTTGTGCCATCGGCCAAAGTGCCGGTGTAATGCATCGTGAGCATATCACCAGATTTACTTTTAACTTCGCAAAGTTCCGGTTTGCTAACAACATCGATCTTTAGCTCTTTATCTTTATCGCTTCTCGCCACCGCCACAAAAGCGAAAACGAATAATAAACCAACCGTGCACTTCATCGTTTCGTTGCAAGTGTTTTGCGTATATTGAGAGTGTTCAGTTTCGTCCGCGAAGAACAACTTTTTGAACTGTACTGCGCGCGTTCGAACTCGACCCGGTTATACTACGGACTCACTCGTCGTTGCCACGCTGTCGTTATTTTCAGAGAGAGCTGGTTATATTACCTCTCTCTTATACGCGCATCTTCGAGCCACAGGTCCTATTTTCATTGGCTCTTTGATACACGTGACATAGCACATGAATGTACCAGTCCGTTATTCATGAGTAGGTTTAACTGTTTTTGTATGTGTGGATTTTAACTTATTTAGAATTTTTTTTCTACTACCACTAAATCTGAAATAGATGTTTAAAATTTCATGAAAAAATAATTACAAAATAATACATTATTTATTTATTATTTTACATATATTTTAAAATGACGCATAAAGAGATAAGCTTAAAATCTCAACTTTGCATATTAATAATATATACTGCTTCAATAAAGTTTCAGTACAAATTCAATTTTAGAATTTCTCGAAAGAAGGCATAAGGGTGCATAAAGGTGTATCTCAAAGGTAATGAAAACTTTAACATATTTGTGAATTCCAGTTATCGGACAAAGCAAAAACTAGCTTCCTTGGAGTTTGTGAGAGACATCATTGCAAAATTGATCAATACTCAGCGCCAAATTTAATCTATGCGAAGTTAGCCCCCAATTTTTCTAGCCCCCAATTAGATAGGATTTTACATGTATAGTATTTTGATTATAACAAGAGAACCAGTCAACCGATTTCGATAAACAATGTCTCATTCGAAAGCTCAATCCTTGGCCAATACGAAAGTGGAAATGCCCGATTCGAAATCTCTCTCGAATTCCGCTAAAACGCCAAAATAATGCGAAGGTACACGAAAATAACACAAAAATGACCTTTTTTAAGTGGTGATAACTCGTAAACGATGTACCCGATGATCAAGATCTATACGTCATTCGATTCGTCATAGTTTCTTCTATCGAAATCACAAAATGCCCGATTTCAATTCTCTCCCGTTAACCTTGTACAGCCCTCGGAATGACACCGTGTTCGGCTCGTTGTTTATGCACGTGTGAACGCCCGAAAGTCTAGCCCCCAATATAAAAAAATTAATTTAAACTAAATCGACTATAATTAGAGAACGGTTTGACGGATTTTAATGTTTTATATCTCAATTAAAAGTTTGTGTCTGGCTGAATGCGGTTGTCGAAATGCCCGATTCGAAATATTTAAGGATTTTGATTAAAACACAAAAAACGAATTAATCAAACACATCAATTATCTCCTTAACTAATTGACCAATTTTAGTCATCAACATCTCGATCGAAAGTATGATCTACAATGAATGCGAAGGTGGAAATGCCCGATTTCAAAATTTACTAATTACCTGCGTACAGCCATTGAAATGACCCCGCGAATCTGCCGACTGGAAGTCTAGCCCCCAATAAGAAAAAATTAATTTTGATTACATTCGCTATAACTAAAGAACGGTTTGACGGATTTTAATGTTTTATATCTCAAATGAAAGCTTACGTCTGGCTGAATGCATATGTCAAAATGCCCGATTCGAAATATTTAAGAATTTTGAATAAAACACAAAAAATTAATTAATCAAATAAGTCAATTATCTCCTTTATTATTTGATCAATTTTAGTCGTCAACATCTCCATCGAAAGTATGATCCATGGTGAATGCGAAAATGGAAATGCCCGATCTCTAAATTTGCTAATTAAGTACGTACGATTGTTTAAACGACTCCAGTGACTTTACTGCCTGGAAGTCTTACTTACATAAAAAATAATTTTTTGTAAACGGATTATTACTAGAGAACAACTTAATGTGAAAATGTTTGAAATATTCTACTAATCATAATAAAGTATGTAAACAAACGAACAAAGTAATAGACTGATTTAAAATGTATTTGTACTAAAACAGAAAATCTTTTTTTCATTTTTGGTTTTAGTATTTCTACCTTTAGTATAACTTATTGTTGTTCTTACTAGTTTTCTACTCTTCTTTTTCAAATTTTATATTTTTAGCTGTATATAGTTTCACACAAAAAGCGTCCCAACCCATAACTCTGTTGTTTATATTGAAATATAAATAAAGTTTTCAGGGGCAAGGTGCTAATTTACATTTCTTTCAATTTTTACAATTCTTTTAAAAATTGTTATTATATCCAATTTTTCTTCAACTTTTCCAACTTTTCCTTCAAATTGTATAATATATTTTTCTCTTCATTACAAAAGTTAAAATGTTTTCCGAATATTCATAAAGAATAATGCATAAGTGACAATAAAAATAAAAATGTTGAAGGCCAAGGATTGAGCTTTCGAATGAGACATTGTTTATCGAAATCGGTTGACTGGTTCTCTTGTTATAATCAAAATACTATACATATAAAATCCTATCTAATCCAAATTAAGGAATAAGGTCCAAATTTATTCTCTCCTCAATATTAGTAAACCTTTTTGAGTGCGGGAAGTTAGCCCCCCATTTTTTGAATTTAAAATTTTTTATTGTTGTTCTAGAGTTGTTCTACATTGTTCCAAAGCGGCAAATCGAAAAAATAAAAACTCCGCGAGAAAACCGAAAAAACGGGTTTTTTGACTAGTCCCTTATTTTTCGAAAAATCAAATTTTCTTTGTTGTTCTGGGTTGTTCTAGTTGTTCTAGTTATTGTTCTAGAAAATCTAAATTAAGGGATACAGCATTACGAAGTTATAACTAAAAATAGGTTTGGCCGCCGAAATGACTAGTTGATTGCTGTGACCATACTTTTTCTATTATCAATTCCAAAGTACAAATATATACTTATTATAGCTAACGCAATCTGGAACAGCTATTATTTTCACTAGAACAACCCTCTAATGGGCACTTTGCTCTTTGAAAATTAAAGTTTTTGGAAGATTCAGGCCCACTTTTACCACCTCCTGATAAATTTATCCGATAGATAAATCCAGTTCTTAGCCAATGAGAGCGCTTAAAACCGCCGTAACCATGGCAACTATCCTCTAGATAGTTTATCAGGAAGATGGTAAAAGTGGGCCTCAGTCAGTAATTCTTGCGTCAGCGGTTTTAAATTACACAATATGAATGAATACACATAGAACCATCTAAAATAACTCAAACTTTGCCGATTCAAATTGTTCTAGATGTGTTTACGTTTAACACGTTAATGCACATTAATTTTGCAAAATCACATATTTTTTGGTGCTCTAAATTGTTCTTGTTGTCCTAGGTACTTAAAATATTTATTTAATCACTGCGGCTTTAGTTCTTTTAAAGTTTCATATTAAATATTAGTACTTACAACAATTAAAACAATTCAGAACAGCTGTTATTTTCACTAGAAAAACCTTAGATTTGAGTTGTTGTGATATCGGACAGGTTTTGTTGAATCAGTGAACCCAACCTTTAATATAATAATAGTTTTAAAAAACTAAAAAAATATGGAATAATCTGACCATCCTAATTTTCTAAAAATTACAAGTTTCACCTTTCTCTTTAAACTTATAATAGTAAAACATAAGTTGCGATTTAAAGTGTATTTTATTTTGTATAAACTATAGCTCTTTTTTTATATGTTGCTTTACTAGAACCGGGTTTTAAAAATAATTTTAGAAAACTAAAGCAATAATCTGTGCAAACATTCTCAACATGATTTCTAAATGAATTGTGTGTACAGGCAAATGCTAAACTATGTCGCATGACATGTCGCATGAACTATGTGCATAACTTGTCGAATCCGCAAGTATTTTGAACAATATATTTTTTATTTTTTATTGAAATAAATATTAATGAAACTTACTTATGAACTTATGAAAGAATTACTAACTGAAACTTCCAAAAATTTTAATTTTCAAAGAGTAAAGTGTTCTTTATAGAGTTGTTCTAGTGAAAATATTAGCTGTTCCAGATTGCTTAGGTATAATAAGTATATATTTGTGATATGGAACTGAAAATAGAAAAACTATGGTCACAGCAATCAACTAGACATTTCGGCGGCCAAACCTATTTTTAGTTATAACTTCGTAATGTTGTATCCCATAATTTTCATTTTCTAGAACAATAACTAGGATAACTAGAACAACCCAGAACAACAAAGAAAATTTGATTTTTCCAAAAATGGGGGGCTAGTCAAAAAACCCGTTTTTTCGGTTTTCTCGCGGAGTTTTTATTTTTTCGATTTGCCGCTTTGGAACAATGTAGAACAACTCTAGAACAATCAAGACCACAATAAAAAATTTAAAAATCAAAAAATGGGGGGCTAACTTCCCGCACTCAACCTTTTTCAATTGAAAGAGTTGTTAGCGCAAAAATCATAAAAGTAGTGATTGCCTTATGGTAAGTTTCCACATACATTGATTGCTGCCGCCGTTCCGTAGGCACCAGTTTAGTTGTATATGGAAATAACAAAAATCCGTAGGCGCCAATAAAGTGTCTACGTTTTGGCGCCAATAGTAGTATTGGTAAAGAAAACGAGCAACTGTATACATGTATATACAGTGTGTCCCAGGATACGTAAAACGACTCTTATAAAACGAGCTTAAACGAAATTAATTGGTATTAATAATGGCTTACAACTAAAACAAATAAACTCCTTTTTCCATAAATTCTTAAATAGACAAAACATCAAAAATTCTACAACCCTCCAACCTATAAATTCAGAAAGTAAAACATATAGAACCATCCCATACCCAGGAAAAATAGCCTATAATATTGGAAATGCCTGTAAAAAACATGGTATCACCATATCCTATAAAAATAACAATACTCTACAACGAATACTATTTAATGCCCAAGATAAAATAGATGTACTAGATAAAAACGGGGTATATAAATTAGATTGTGGCACATGTGGTGCATACTATGTGGGTGAGACCGGTCGTTCACTAAGAATCAGGGTGAAGGAACACATCCAAAGAGAGGAATCCAATTTCGATAGGCACATTTCAACATACAATCACAATTTCTATAAAGACAAAAACGTAACTCTGCTTCATCAACAAAATGATTCAAATTCAGATTCAATTCAAACGATATAGAATGTCTGAATGACCTGATATATTGCTCACAGGTGCCAATGTATAAATCCCTATCTGACCCTTATCCCAAAATACCGAGGGCTCCTATGGTTAGCCATACATAGGAGTCGAAGATTTTGGGTTTTAATTGGCTTTTCCTCTCTTCCCCCCCCCCTCCTATATCACCATCCCGACCTTATCCTTTTGTTTAATCGTTGTGCAACATAATACAGTGGCTTCTTCATTTTTCGACCTTTTAATTTTGTAATGCAGTTAGTGTTTAATTTGGTTTAATTTTCAAGTTTTTACACGTCGTTTTCTTCAACCTTTTAATTTGTGATATAGTATATGTTTATTTTAATTTCGAATTTTACACGCTTTAAATTCTACGCACATGCGTATTTAGTTACTTTTTAAATTTAGATATCAACATAAAAACATGTTTTTTACATTTTTCGATTCAGTTGTTAAGACATTTTCGACACGTTACCATGACTGATTGTAAACATTGTTTTATCTCTAAAATCTGCCCATTTGTGATTTTTAAACGGAATTTCGCCATTAGTTTAACAATATAATAGTTTCCGCTGTTCAAAAATTTTATTTTCAACTTGTACGTTACTCTGTAAGTATCATTTTATTTAGATTTAATTTACCTTAATTCTATAATCTAACACGTTTAAATTATCAAAAATTCAACTTTTGTAGCTATTCTGAAGATGCCTGCTAGGACAGGCGAAACATGTAAATAAAGAGACGTATTATTGTTATATAATACAAGAAATTTTTTACTAACCAGTAAAAGTGCAAAACTGACAAAAAACCTTTGTTACCTCTAAATTAAAGAAAAAACTGGTTAAAATGGACTACAACATCAACTTCGACTCATAAAATGTAAATTTTTTTCGATATTAATTGTCATTTTTTTGGGTTTAGCCCTGCTTGGTGAAACACTAATTTTGAACATATTTTCAAGTTTTAAAAAACAAGTGAGTGTTGACACTGAAGCGAAAACTCCTTGTGTCAGGTAAAAAGATTTAAAAAGACGACCAAAGTAGGCCGATCATTCCGAAAATTTGCATATGGCCATAGTTTTTCATTCTGAACAAAACTTCTTAGTAACACTTTCACGTACTGTAAACAAAAAAGGTACTTTACCTGCCATAAAAAGAGTTTTTCTTTCACCGTCCAGGCTTATTTGTTTTTTAAAACTTGAAAATATGTTCAAAATTAGTCTATCATGCAGGGCCAAACCCACAAAAAAAACAATTAATATGGAAAAAAAATTATTTTTTATAAGAGTCGTTTCACCTATTCGGGGACACACTGTATGCGTTCGTCCACCAAAATTGCGAAAATCTTGTAATAAACCGTCTAAAAAATGGACATCACAACAAATAATACAGTTTTTGGAAACATATGAAGAATATCCGTGTTTATGGAATCATAAAATTCCAGAACATAAGGACCGAACTACAAGAAACGAAGCCTTAAGAAGGATAGTTGAGATTATGTCGAAAACAATTCCCAATTTTGATGAAAACTCGGCAAAGACAAAAATACGAAGTATACGCAATGCGTATACAAATACCACAAGGTTTTAAATTCGTGCAGAAGTCAAGCAACAGCTGACTATGTGTATAATTATGACATAATAATGTGGTCAAAAATGAAAGACAGTTTCAATGTACTTTAACTTGTTGTAAAATTTTATTTTTCGTCTGACTAGTTTCGCCTTATACGCATCTTCAGATACTCTACATTGAGAAATATTTGTTTTACAATATTATACTAATCCAAACTTAAACTAGTCAAAAGTTTACAACAATTACTTACTCGTTAAAAATGTGAAGTTACATCCATCTTCTCAAAAAATAATTATAGGATTGACAGATTATGTTGTAGAACATTTCTTAATTCCGAAAAGTACCACAAAATTAGTTAAACTTTTTAAAATTAAAGACGAGCACGTTACAGTTTATAAAAATGGTTGAACTACGTCGTTGTTAAAAATGAAATAAAAACTCATCAAGCAGGTTTTGAGAAACAAAAAAATCTCCGTATTAGACAGAGTATTGAAAGTTGAAAAGTAGAAAACTGTATTAAACATATGATATTTAATTTGAAAATTGAAAAATGAGTGAAACTGCTTTAAAATTTTTTTTTTTTAATTTAGATTTATATGTTATTAAACATTATAAAAACATTGATAACAATGTAGGTTGAGAATCCACTTACAAAAACAAAAACAATAAGTGTGTAAGGGTTCTTGAAAGGGGTAAAAGGAAAGATAGTTAGTTAAATTGGGATTCTAAGTTGTTCGAAAAATTAAGGGAATTGGATATAAGGAATTATGGAAAAAGAAGGAGAAAAATTTTAAAACAGTTTCACTCATTGTTCAATTTTAAAATTAAATATCAGATGTTCAATACAGTTTTCTACTTTTCAACTTTCAAAATTTCAAACTTAATCTTGTCTTTCTCTACATCATATAGCATACTCTGTCTAATACGGAGATTTTTCTTGTTTCTCAAAACCTGCTTGATGAGTTTTCATTTCATTTTTAACAACGACGTAGTTCAACCATTTTTATAAACTGTAACGTGCTCGTCTTTAATTTTAAAAAGTTTAATTAATTTTATGGTACTTTTCGGAATTAAGAAATGTTCTACAACATAATCTGTCAATCCTATAATTATTTTTTGATAAGATGGATGTAACTTCACATTTTTAACGAGTAAGTAATTGTTGTAAACTTTTGACTAGTTTAAATTTGGATTAGTATAATATTGTAAAACAAATATTTCTCAATGTAGAGTCTCTGAAGATGCGTGTAAGGCGAAACAAGTCAGACGAAAAATAAAATTTTACAACCAGTTAAAGTACATTGAAACTGTCTTTCATTTTTGACCATTTTCTTCACTGGTAACATGGATTTAATCAATTTTAACTCATACATAATAATGTGTATAATTATGCATTTTCATGACGTCTAATTAAAGTACTTGAAGCACTTGAAGTAGCTATGGTTTCGTTATTTTTTTTTGTTAATAACATGTGGAGTGTGCCAGTACACAATTATCACATTTATATCTAAACAACTTCTGGTGCCACTAAATTGGCTTCTTATTGGCGTCAGTAATCCATGCATGTGTAAACTTAGCTTTAGATACTGCTGCAAAATCATCAGATTCCTTTAAAGCATCAAAATATGGTGGGATTTGCTTTTCTTGCCAATATTGTAACCATATGTTAGTTTCTTTACACAGGTTTTGTATACAATAAAATTCTTCGACAGATTGTGGTTTAAATTCGTCAGAAGTGGAGCAACAGCTGACGATGTGTGTAATTATGACATAATAAATTGTATAATTATGTATATTCATGACATAGTTCTCTAATTAAAGTACTTGATGCGCCTAGGTAATTTCTACGTGCAATACATGACCGAATCCAGCAGCTATGTTTTCGTTTTTTTGTTAATAACATGTGGAGTTCCAATGAGCCCATTTGCATTGCCATATTGGTGACAGGGAGTACATCACTTGATAACATTTTTATTACTGTACCAGTACACAATTATATGAAAATAACTTCTAGCGCCATCACACTGGCTTCTTACTGGCGCCATACATGTAGAAATTTAGCTTTAGGCTCAATTTCCTTTAAAGCATCAAAATATGGTGAGATTTACTTTTCTTGCCAATATTGTAACCATATGTGGATAATGATGACATTAAAGTGCAGAAAGATTATTTTGTTATTTATTTGGTATCTTGTGAAAACATAATAAAATCTAGATATGGTACCGTATTGGCTAAACGTATTCGTTCTGGTGCGCCAAAATTCGTTTGTCTGGCGATACATAAAAGAGAAATGCAATTGAGTATGATTTGAGTATGAAAACATGATGCTTTTAATGAACCAATTTGGGGCTAACAAGGTGGCAACCTCATTTCTGATGGTCTCAAAATGTAATGCACATTTTTTACCTATCTGTTTTAATCATAGGAAAGATTGCAATTTATTAGCTTGGGATTCAATCCTCCATGGGCTTACTATCCGTGCCAAAAGTCAAATACTAACAATTTAGAGATCCACACGAGAGATCTTACGTGACAAATATGAATTTGAAACAGATTTGGTAGATTTGTTTCTAAAACATATTTATTGCTTCTCCATCTGAAATTCTACCTTGACAACAAACATCAGCAAATAGTTACAAGAAGATGAATGCAAATAGAAGCAAACCTGCAGAGATTTCCAACAAAACAATACTGAAATTTAGCTTATAACCAAAATAATCTGATAGCTTTGTGATAATTATGGATTTTGATATACTTATTTATTGTTCCAAAATTTTCTAAAACTACAAGGATGATTGTCTTTGTGATGTTCAATGATTACACTAATTAACAAAGATGAAGTGCTGCATATGATATCGAAGTGTCTACGTCATTACGTAAACTAGTAAAATTTGATATTCAAACTCTTAACAGCAACAGATACAATACCAAAGCAGATGATACACAACTTAAGAAGCATGCTATATTAAAAAGGCCAAAAACATTTGTCTCGTTTTAGTTGAAATGATTTTCTGGTTTTACACCTTCTAGACATTGCATTAAATTTGCAAATTGTGTGTCTTTCCATAGTTTATCTAGAAACAGCGTTGAGCAGATTTATTAGTGTCTTATTAGTAGACTTAGAGCCCAATCTGTACCAGGGACATTATCTTTAAATTTGATAGCGATACGGCTTACTTGGGTAAGCTTTTGCCAGTTTTCTTAAGTCTAGCAAATTAAGTGGGAATCGGCAATCCGTACATTTTAAAGCAGACTTTGTTATTTACGTCTATCTTCATGGCTGCTGTGAAACTTGTTGTTTAGTTTTTATTGTTTGTAATTGCGTGACTCAAGTTTGTTTCATATCAAGTAATTCTTGATATCTACTATCCATTCTGTCTCAAGACAAAACTTTTGCGTCTGTGAGCAGTTTCTTTTTTACTATAGGCAGAGAGTTAGCCAAACCTTGAAATCTTGCTCCTTTATCCAAGTTTGGAACCGACACGACAACGTCTAGGCTACTTGGTCCATTTAGGGCTGTTGCAGCAGAGGTAATTTCTTGATATGTGCAAGATAAATTTCTTATGTGCTTCTTACCGTCAACATTTTTATGCTGGTTATCAAGTATAGCTGATGAGCTTTCGTTTCTGTAGCTGCACCCACACTCTGCGATCTTCACGGACTAGATTAATATAGTATTTTCCTCGTGATTGGTTAATAGGAATCTTTATAATCTGATGAGTCCAGATACATAATATAACAAAGGGTGGCTTATAGATGTTTGATATTTTGCTCCTAAAAGTTCAAGAGCATAAAAAACAACATTAAAATCAAAAAAGTATGTGGAATCATTAAAAGTTGCATGGCTAGGAAATATTATCTTATAATCATGTTGTGTTGAACCATAAACTGGTTTAATCTCAAATGGTTTATTAAATATGAATTCACAATGGATTTGGATACATGATTATGAATGATGTTTCTTATTCAATCTCTATTAGAAATATTAATCATTGAGTTAAGTTAGTAAAACTTGATTACCAACTTCCACGATGTTATTAAACTCTTACCGATGGGATTTATCATTATTTTGTACCTATCTATATCGAGATATTTGATGATATTGGCTGATTTTAATAAAAATTGGAATTAAAATTTAGATGATACTTTCTTGAAACGTCCTTTGTGGATTATTAAATCGTACAAGTATCGGTCTTTGTTGTTGTTGATTCCAACGTTGTACGGTTTTTGTTGCTAGTTATTAATCTGCTTACAGTTGAAATTCGGTTTTGTTATCCTAACAAGGGAAGTGTCACAACTGTGTCTCACCGATTTCGATGCAATTTGGTACAGTCATAGAATGGGCCAAAATAAGGTTCGTACATTTTTTTATACGTGCGGTAAAAGCCCCTGGGGCGAGTTATAGGGGTTGAAAGTTTGGAGAAAAAGTACGTTTTCACTTATATTTTAANCGAACCTTATTTTGGCCCATTCTATGACTGTACCAAATTGCATCGAAATCGGTGAGACACAGTTGTGACACTTCCCTTGTAAGTCAGTAATTATAAGAACGCATCCGCGGAATACTATTAACGTTTGGCAAATTCTGGAAAGACGGAATTACCTTCATTTTGGGGGAGTTACTCTTACTTAACTGCGTGGCTGCTTACACAGATGGAGCTAATTTTGCCTCCCCACTATTTTAGCTTGAACTGTTTCCAAATTCTCCGAACAAAGATATCTTGTAACACTTTATTTGTCACTTTATTATTTAGTTATAATTAAAAATATATAATTAATAAATATTTTAAATATGAGTATTTATATCTTTTTATTAATAAATTAAGTTATTACAATTACACAAAATCCTAATATGTATTCATATAACAAATTTTCAGTGACTAAGAAAAATGGTAAACCACTATTTCTCGGTTAAGAAGAGGGAAAAGGTGAAAGAAAAAAAAATGTTAGGAAATAATTTTAAAAGAATGAAAACGAGCGGAAAACGCAATAATTTACGACGTCTTTTGTCTCATTAATTCGGACTTTAATGGCGATTTTTCCCTGTACATGAGCCACGAATGAGTAATACGTGGGAGAGGAAAATTTACCTTGTAAATACTGTACCAGAGCTAGAGCAAGGAAGTAAGGAAGGGCACCGAGGCCCGTCTAATATCCCTGTTTATTTACGTGTAACTTTGCGGGCCCCCCTAAAGGGGATTAAACTATTGAAGAGACGGCGGCGTTTTCCTGCCGGGAAAACGTGGGGACTCGCGGCGTAACAAAACTGTTCCCTGTTTATAAATCCTCCGGGCGAATGAAATATAGCAAACGCTTTCGCCGAGCACCTTACTACAAAGCGCAAATTTGTGTATTTGTACCAAGCTTTCGTACTCATATTCTAGCGTAATTAGTCTAAGGCGATGTATTCTCTCATTTTATCTTATCGTCTTACTTTTTTGCATTACCATTTTCGAAAGTGCTAACAATGCTGAATTCACCCGCATTTAAATTTATAATTGGAAACGTTAAAATGACATCATTCGATGAGAAAGTAAAGAAAGTTTTTGGGTTAAAACAGGTTTGAGTCATATTATTTTAAAAAATAATTACAATCTAAAAATGTTACGGTGCGTTGGTTGCCTATATTTTTTTCATTTAATTTTTTATGTTCTAGATTACAATAACTTTACATAATTATATAACAGCGGGATGAGTCGGATTAGTATAATAGATTGTCACATATATGTCACCGTTGGTAATTAAGCGGCGTGCTTCCTGTGTGAGTAGTATTAAAGCTGCGAGCTTTATAAAGCTTCGAAGTGTACGTCCCGGGCCGGACAAACCACCATCCGTGTTCGTTACAGCCAGGTTATCGAACGCACCGACAAAAACGTGCCCGGCACAATGGACCTTTGTCTAGTCGACAACTTAATTAGGCATTTAATGGGTTAATAATAATTATTATATTCAATGCCGCGCCCTATTTCATCCCTTGAATAAACATATCGGAACGGAGCACGCTTCCGCTAGGGTACGTCACCAACACTTGCCTATACACTGCGTTCTTGTTCAGTATTTCTCGCTTATCGCTAAATAACACATTCCTTGTTATAATTAATAATTAAATTTATGCTACAATAATTTATTTACAAAGAATAAATCTAATTAAAAAAATATATATTACAATGTTGACTCGAAATCAGCAAAATTATGTGAAGAGTGCTTAATTTACAATAATATTAAAATTAATGAGTCGTATATATTTATGATATGCTGAAAAAATACTGACGATTTTTTCTAATTACTAATTCATTCTTTTTACTTTACACATCAATCAATAAGTTACTTTGGGTCTTGACTCAGTGCTTTGGCTTGTTCGACTTCTTCTTGCAAAACGAATCCCGTACTTCTTCGATTTGATAATCGGTGTTTTGATCTTCTTTTTC